CATCGGGGCCTGTTCTCAGGAGGGACCAGTCCTTGGAACGGGACATCGGGGCCTGTTCTCAGGAGGGACCAGTCCTTGGAACGGGACATCACGCTGGGAAAGGGTTAGAGAGAGAGAGAGACCCTCCACAAGACGGGCTGACACAGGACTGTGTAACGACGGACCTGAGCATGGTCGAGGCAGCGAGGATGGGGCCAGACAGCGCAAGGTTCACATCTGTCCTCCTCAGCACGCTAGGAGTTGTAGCTGACTCCATGGCACCTACTAACAACAAGTTCCCTAAAAATTCCCATTAACCTGAGTACAGTCTCTGTGGCCACTGTGACTCAAACTGAGCTGGACTGTCTGGAGGGGAAAAAAATCAATCTTCTCATTAGAGGAAGAAAGAGACGAGCAAGTAGACAGCAGCCCTGAGTGCAAGGTCCCCTGAAGGAGCAGGACGGAGATTTCACAACAAGGAAAATGGACAACAGGAAATAAAAGCGCTACAGAAGAAAAAGACACAAGGACGCTGAGAAGAACAGAACCAGGCAAGAAATCCAACATGAGGCAGATGTGGTCAGGAGAGAAAAGAAGGGTGGCGTTGTTCTTTAATAAGAAGTGAAGAGCAAGAGGTTAAAGTTGAACAGCTTTCTGAGCTAACCCTCAGACGCGTTTTCAGAAGCTGTACATCACATGAAGAAGACGGCCCATCCTTCTCCCACGCAGCAGCTGGTGGAATCTATCTGCCTTAGGCATCGCTGCACCGGTTCTTACCACTGGGTTCCTTCTGAGTCATAAGGTGATACAAGACTTCTTGAAACATTTCAAAAGCACTAACCCTTTTCTGAGAAAGAACGACACCAGCAAAGCTCCCTCTCACATTCTATTGTCCAGTGTCCTGCCTGCCCCTTTTCTGGTTTTCACACACTCACGGGGGTTCCTGTAACTGTGAATTGCTCCTTCTATAATCCACAGTAGTTTCCTCTCACTGTAACTTGAAGACTCAATCTGGTTTTGCTGCGGAGTAAACTGTAAATGTGAAATGGTAAAGTTTAGGGACCATACTACTTATAGATTGGCAAATATAAACTTTTTACAGGGAGCAAAAACATGTATTTCATGGCCAAAGAACAGAAGACTATGCTCTACCAGGTTTTAGTAAATTTACAACCCCGCTGTCTCAAGTGAATTCTGACTCACAGTGACCTGACAGGACAGGCTAGAACTGTCCCTCGGGGGTTCTTGTTGTTGTTGTTGTTGTGTGCCGTCGAGTCGCCTCCGACTCATAGCGACCCTGTGTACAACAGCCCTAAACTCTGCTCTGTCCTGTGACAAACACACTGTCTCTGACACTGCCATCCCGATTAACCCACTCAATCAATCCACCTCATAGAGGGCCTTCCCCTCCTGTGCCGTCCCTCCATCCTCCCAAGCATGATGTCCCTCTCTAAGGACCGGTCTCTCCTCACAACATGTCCAAAGTATGTTAGACGGAGCCTCAGAATCCTTGCCTCCAAGGAGCCACCCGGTTTAACCCTCTCCAGGACAAATCTGTTTTCCTAGCAGTCCATGGTATTCTCAATACTCTTCTCCAGCACCACAGCTCAAAGGCATCAGTTCTCCTTCTATCCTCCTTGGTCACTGTCCAACTCTCTGATGCATAACAAGTGATTGCGAAGACCATGGCCTGTATCAGACGCACCTTAGTCTCCAGAGAGACACCATTGCTCTTCAGTACTTCGGAGAGGTCCCTAACAGCAGACTTTCCCATGGCAATGCGCCTTTTAATTTCCTGGCTGCTGGTGCCAAGAGTGTTGACTGTGGAGCCAAGCAAACTAAAGCTGTGAACAATCTCAATCTCTTCACCATCCATCCTGATGCTGCCAATTGGCTAATCAGGGTTCTTATGACTGGAGTATTAATAAATGCTAACTGCTTCATCCTTTTCTTACGCACCTGACAGTGAGTGTGTACTGTAAACCTTTCAGTGAGCAGCACAACAATTAACAGATTGTACTACGCAGACGTAGTGGTTCTAATTCCAACATTAAACACTCATAAGACTCTTCAGAATTCATACAATGACAAAGAGCACTGTTGGAGCTCACTGACACTGACCCGTGAGGCTGCCCTCGCGTACAGATCCCAGGCTGCTGTAGTTCTCCAACATCACCTCCTTGTACGGGTCCTTCTGAGAGGTCCGACTGCTGCCACAATATCTGTTTTAAAAGCTAACAAAAATCTAAAAAGCAGCTGCTGATACACCACCACTTTATGAGATTTAGTTTTCTGGTGTGAAGGTTCAGCATTAATTCATGGGACAGAACTATTACTTGGCACTCTACTTTTGTGCTGGAAAAGGCACACGATGAAGAGGCTCACTGGTGGCCTAGTGGTAAGAAGCTGAACTTCCAACCGCCAGGTGCTCGGTTCTAATGCAACAGCTGCTCTCCAGGGGAGAAAAATGGACACCCTCCTCCTGTGTAGTTTTACATTATCTA